TGTATCTCTGTCGGTCTTTCTCTTCACACACACACATACACATGCACACACACACACACACACACATACATATACATATATATATATATGCACACACATACACACATATATATGCACACGCACACACACACATATATATATATATATATGCACACACATACACACATATATATGCACACGCACACTTTACTGCGAGAGAGAGAGCGAGAGATAGAAGAGATATATAGAGAAAAATAACGAGAGAGAGAAAGAGGCAGAAAGAGAAAGAGAAAGAAAGATAAAGAAAGACTGAAAGAGAAAGGGAGAGAGAGAGAGAGAGAGAGAGAGAGAGAGAGAGAGAGAGAGAGAGAGAGAGAGAGAGAGAGAGAGAGAGAGAGAGAGAGACAGAGGCAGAAAGAGAAAGAGACAGAAAGATAAAGAAAGACTGAAAGAGAAAGGGAGAGAGAGAGAGGGAGAGAGAGAGAGAGAAAGAGGCAGAAAGATAAAGAAAGACTGAAAGAGAAAGGGAGACAGAGAGAGAGAGGAAAGAGAGAAAGATAAAGAGAGAAAGAAAAAGAGATAGATAGAGAGAGAGAGAGAGAGAGGAAGATAGATCGAGACGGCGCCATGAATCTTATGTTTTGAACGTTTCCTTTTCCGTTGCCATGGGAGAACACGGTGGACGCTGTCCGAATGCATCGAAGCGACTGTGGCTTCGTGCTCATAATATCAGTGCTATTACTGTGATAATAATAATTATTAATATATCAGTGCTATTACTGTGATAATAATAATAATAATAATTATTATCTGTTTGATCACTGTAGTTGTTAGTGTCATCATTATTACCATTATTATTATTATGGCTGTTATTAATATCTTTATTGATTTCATTCTTATTACTGTAATCGCTGTCATTATTACTGTTATCATTATTATCCTTTTTATTTCCATTTTTTTTTTGTCTTCATCCTTTTACTGTAATTATCATTATTATTAACATAGTTTTTCTCATTATTATAATTATAAACATTGTTATTATCATTATCTGTACATTATTATCATTATCATTATTACCATTATCATTATCATCATTAACAGTATTATTGTCATTATTACCATCATCATTATTATCATTATCATAACCATTATCATTATTGCAATTATTATTATCATTATTATTACCATTATTGTCATATTATTATCATTATTACCATTATTATTATTATTATTGGTGCTTCATGCTCGGGGTGATGTGAAGCGATGGTGTGGTAGCCTAGATAGTGTTAGGTGCTTGCATGCCTTCTCGCTTACAGCTGCCACCGCTGGCTAGCCTGGCGCGAAAAGGGAGCAGCTGTGCATAAGACTCCCCTGCCAGCTCATAGCCTCTCCATCATCAAGACTTCTGCAGTGCCTCCTCGTGGCCGCCCATGGAAACTAGGTACCTTGCGGTCCTAGGCTGAACTGTGGAGGCTCTTGGAGCAGCAGGAGGCCCTGAAGGTACGGAGTCACGGCCCACCGGCGTGTGGACACGCCCTGGCTTCGTACCAACTCCTGCCCCCGTGCCCCCCGGGGTTAAGGGGAGGCTGTGGGGGGGTAGGCCTTGCCAGTCCTGAAAGTTTTATGCATCTGTGACAGACAGCTGTCCTCAGCAAGATCATCGTATTGTTCTGGGTGACTTCAATGCAGTATCTGGCTGCGACCGTGCTGACTATGAGATGTCTGTCAGTCCTCATGGCTCAGGAGCTGATGCTGGCAGTTAGAATAGCCTCCTTTAGTAAATAACCTTCGTCCTGCCTACCAAGCCCTGAGAAAGCTGAACTCCAAGCCCTCCTCACAGACGACGGCAATCCGCTCAGCAAGTGGCCGGGTAATCTCAGATCCTGATGGGGTGCGTGTGCGTTGGGCTGAGTATTTTGAGCAGCTGTATCAGGTTGATCCACCAACAGTTAACTTAGACGCGGAGAATGTCGAGATTCCTCTACCGGTCCCACCTATCAGTGAGGATCCCTGACTGAAGTCCGTTGGTACTTGCTTGCGGTGAAAACATCGAAGTCACAAGGAGCTTTATATACCTCAGCAGTGGAGTTCATGGCGCTGGGCTGTCAGACCAGGAAGTCAGTAGACGGATTGGCCTGGCAGCAGGGGTCATGAAATCTCTCGACAAGAGTATTTGGAGATGCCGGTACCTGTGCAGAAGGACCAAGCTACGAGTTTTCAAGGCCCTGATACTGCCAGTTTTACTATATGGTAGTGAAACTTGGACGCTATCTTGTGCTTTGGAATCTCGTCTCGATGCCTGTTACTTGCACAATCCGTGATCGCCAACTCAGGCTATATGGCCACTTGGCTCGATTCCCGCAAGATGATCCTGCCCATCAGGTTGTCTCTGTCCGTGACAACCCCGGGTGGAAGAGGCCTGTGGGACGACCGAGAAGGCCGTGGCTTGGGCAGATCGATCAAACCTGTCGTAAGGAACTAGAGATGGCCTGGCCCCTGCCTGGCGGCTCGCCATGAGGGATCCTCGTAGGTGGAAGCGAAGGGTGGATGCGGCTATGGGCCCCTGCCGGCGTTTGCTCCCCAATGATGATGATTATCATTATCATTATTATTTGCATCATTATCTTTGTAAATACCGTTGTTCTTCACCGTTTATTTGAACGATAAGAAGGAACATGAACAGATGATAAAGAGTAAATGAGAAAGAGACGAGAGATATACTTCTCCTTCTCTCTCTCCTCCTTTTTACTCTCTCTCTCTCTCTCTCATTCTTTTTTTCTGTTCTTCATTCTCTTCCTTGCGTCTCTCTCTCTCACTCTCTTCCTTCCTGTCTCTCTCCCTCTTTCTCGGTCTTTCTTTTTCTTTCTCTGTCTCCCTATCTGTCTCTCCCTCTTTCTCTTTCTTTCTGCACGCTTGTCGCCTTCTGTTTTATTTATCTATTTATTTTTTCTTCAAATTTCTCTTTGCCTCTCTCTCTCTCTCTCTCTCTCTCTCTCTCTCTCTCTCTCTCTCTCTCTCTCCCTCCCAGAAAAAATTATTTAAAAAATATCTTAGTTTACCATAATTTTTCTTTATATCACCTCTTCCCGTTTTCTGTGGTTGTTCTAATGCGTTTCCTTACCTGAAAATAGAGGAAAAAATATGTCAAAAATTTTTATACATTCTCTCTCTCTCTCCTATTCTCTCTTTCTCTCTCTCTCTCTTTTTGTCCATATAATATATATGGGTGCGAATGTATGCGTGTAAGGAGAGAGAATGCAAGAGAAAAAGAGAGAGAGAGAGAGAAAGAGAGGAGAGAAAGGAGGGAGAGGGAGTGAGGGAGAGAGGGAGAGGGAGAGAGACTAATATAGATAGATAAATATATACAAAGAGATACAGACAGACAGAGATAGAGAGAAGAGACAAAGAGATAGAGAGGAAAGAAAAAAGAGAAGAGAAGAGAGATAGAGATAGAGAGGAAGAGAGAGATAAAGAATAAAATCGAAAGAACGAGACAAAGAAAGAGAGAAAGAAAGAAAGAGGAAGAGAGAGAGAAAGAGAGAGAGAGAGAGAGAGAGAGAGAGAGAGAGAGAGAGAGAGAGAGAGAGAGAGAGAGAGAGAGAAGAGAGAGCGAGAGAGAGAGAAAGCAAGAGAAAGATATATATATAGAGAGAGAGAGAAAGTGAGAGAGAGAGAGAGAAAGAGAGATAGAGAGAGAGAGAAAGGGAGAGAGAGAAAGCAAGAGAAAGACACAGACAGACAGATAAAGAAGACAGACAATCAAACAGACAAACAAACAGACAGACCGAAAATTCCCTTTAAATATTTGAATGGATAAAGGGAGTGACGTCACTATTCATTCATAAAAGCAGCTATTCATTCATAAAAGAAGTTAATAGTATTTTCAAAGGCGCCTTTTGCCCCAGACAAAGTGGATGGGCGTGTGTGTGTGTGTGTGTGTGTGTGTGTGTGTGTGTGTGTGTGTGTGTGTGTGTGTGTGTGTGTGTGTGTGTGTGGATGGGCGTGTGTGTGTGTGTGTGTGTGTGTGTGTGTGTGTGTGGATGGGCGTGTGTGTGTGTGTGTGTGTGTGTGTGTGTGTGTGTGTGTGTGTGTGTGTGTGTGTGTGTGTGTGTGTGTGTGTGGATGGGCGTGTGTGTGGATGGCGTGTGTGTGTGTGTGTGTGTGTGTGTGTGTGTGTGTGTGTGTGTGTGTGTGTGTGTGTGTGTGTGTGTGTGTGTGTGTGTCTTTTTCTCTCTCTTTTTTTTCTCTCTCTGTCTTTGTCTGTCTGCTTGCCTCTTTCTCTCTCTCTCTATCACTTCTCTCTCACGTTCTTTCTCTTT